TTNTTTTTCTCTAATTTTTCTTTTTTTTTTAATTTTTTTAATTTTCTTTTTTTATTTTTTTTAATGTTCTTTTTTTTAATTTCTTTTTTTGCGGTGCACGTGGCGGGGTTTGCACATAGCAAGTTCGATCCCCGGAGAGGAGCTTTTTTTAATTTTCTTTTTAGCAATCGCTGTTTTGCTTTTAACACTCAAAAACTAATTGTTCAAGTCCCGACGTATGAGTTTTTTAAATTTTCTTTTTAACATCCGCTGTTTTGCTTTTTTTATCAGATGTGTTTTCTTCTTTAAGTGGTCTCGTACCAATTTCATCAACTTGGGTAATATCATTTCAACAACTTCTACCTCAATAACGGCAGTAAAACCTTCGTCAGCCGAAATGTCAGCTTTTTTTAAAAGCACTTGTTTAATTTAATTTAGGTATATTACAGGATTATAAAGTATAGCAGCATACATATTCCCAAAAATAAATTACAAGCCCTGCTGTGACATGGTATATTAAGCATTGATACGGTAGCTTTGCTGCATGTGACTAGACTTATACATCACATTCCCATGTATGATTCCAAGCCCAGTTTTTGAATGTGATAAGCCAATGTGTGGTGAAGGGGATTATAGGATTAGCTGTAGGACCTCCCTGTGTATGTACAATGTATTTATAGATGACCCACTAGGCTTGATGTTTCAAGCCACCCCTAGGGCTCTTAAGGAGTTTTCCAATGCCATAAGACAAGGTTTTTAAGAGCTGTCAGGTTCATGGTTCAAACACCATAGGGACCCCTACCAGCAGCCATATTTCAAACAAGACCGCATGACTATCAGCTGGGTGCACGCGTGTGCATTATCTTCCTTTGTGAAATTTTGCAAATGGACGGGATTTGTGATGGATTTTTCATGATTACTTCCGGGTACGGGAGTGTTGTTTTGGGTGGCTGAGCTGTGGGTTTGTGTGTCTGTTTGTCTGGACAAGCACGTGGGTTGACAGCACGTGGATGGGGAAGATTGACAGGCAGAATGACAGGATTTCAAAGGACTCAGAATCTGACCAAAGCCAGCATGAATTAGAGGTATGTGGTCTTTGTACTTCAAGACTTTTTTTTCAGAAAATCCATTAGCGGTGTGCTGGAGGGCATTATATACTCTAGCTCCATTATTCACCAGTCAGTCGCTTAGTTCTCACCTAATTGACTGGACAGATGCAGAGATACTGTAACATAGTTGAATACCCTCAGACTGGTTTTGCAGCCTTTTGTAGTAGGCTGACACTTAGAAGATTAAATTAGGAGGAATTTCCACAAACAATTGGAAATTCTGGTTGGAAGGATTTATTGATTTTGCATTTTGATATCTTTAACCTAGATATGTGTTTGGTTCCTGTGCTGGCATTATTTTTTAGTACACATAACCTCCATTAACACATATTTAAGTCTGCCACTTTGAAAAATAGTGTGTTTGGAAAATATCTACTGCAGCAGGCTAGGTATACACTGTATGCATACCTAGCCCCCAGGCTAGGTATGCATACAGTGTATAATAGTTTTGATATGTGGGGTGCATTATTCCATTAAAAATATCTTGAAATGGGTTATTTCAGAGGTTAATGAATGTTAATAGAGGTCAGCAGTAAAGCTGACAATATCATTTGATGTATGATGTGTGAAAGTTTTTGTAATATTCTGTTCCGTTCTTGATACGCCCTTTTGATCTTGAAAAACAGTTTACAACTTTCTCCACTTCTCATGACTTCTGTCAGCCACTGAATGTCGCTCTCTGTAGTTCTTGCTACACACGCTACCATGCAAGATAATTACAGGAGAAGCAGGGGACTGCATTTTCTAGAACATTGTTTCACCACAGAAATTCATGTCCATTATACGACTTTTCCCTATACATCACTTCTCCCTGTGTCTTTTATATCGCCCGCATGTGTATGTATTTTACTAGCCTTTATCCTTATGTCAGCTTTTATCGTATTTTACCCAGTAGTTCCAGCGGCGTATTTTAACTATACATTTAAGTACTATGGAATGCTGAGATAAATGTGTAAATGACAGGACAATTCAGTGCCCGATGCAGGGCACTTTGAGTCTGTACATGTGCTACAGAGAACTAAATAAACTATTATTATTTTAGAAATGCCACATGGCCGGCAAAATAACGCATTAAAAATTCTACAAAACACTGTGTCAAAACTCCCACTTGCCCTGAGGCATGCACAGGAGGCTAGCCATCCAAGAAAATTTACAGGAAGCAATGGACTGCATTTTCTGGAACACTATATCTTATTCCCCTATGTCCCTGATCTTAGCGATCTCCCTTGGAAGACTGTTCCAGAGCCTAACAGTCGTTGGTACAAAAGTTCTCACATGGTTGTTGGTGTGGGAGACAGGGACCACCAGAGTGTTTTCGTGATGGGATTTTGACTGGCGTGTCACCCGCCGCACCTCTTTGTGTTTAGGAACAAGGTCGTTTAGCAGGGCTGGTGCCTCTCTGTGGTACATACGGTGGAAGAGAGTCAATGCACCAACTTTCCTGCGGTGGTCCAAAGGTTGGATGCGTGCCTTGGACAGACCAGTTGGAGAAAGTTTCATGATTTTCAGGGCTCTCCTTTATTATTGCAGGAATGCGTGTGGCATGGCTCTGCTGAATCAGCGGCCTCACCTGGTGGAGCTAGTGAAGTGTGTGGTGGTGGGGGACAACGCCGTGGGGAAGACTCGACTCATCTGTGCCCGCGCCTGCGCCACGCCCATCACCAAGCAGCAGCTGCTGGCGACTCACGTGCCCACAGTCTGGGCCATCGACCAGTACCAGATCTCTCCACAGGTAAGGGTCAGTTAAAATCTTCCCATAACCTTTGGACACTGTATAGGGCAATGCACTTCTCCATTTCTGAAGCCTTGTGGCCATGCAGTTGTGAAAGCATTACAGCATGAGGCCTAAGCAAGTCCACTCATAGACTAGTAAGTATGGAGACTTAATTTGGGCAAGTGGATGGTTATTCATTTGTAAACCTGGTAGTATTTGTTTTTTATCCAACTGCACGGTGCTTTAACGCAATGTACGAACAGAACATGTGATTACCACTGTTTGATACATGTAGTTCAGTGTTGAAGCCATTAATTGGTAATTGTAAATGTTCACAGATATTGGAGCGGTCCTATGACATAGTGGATGGTGTGCATGTGTCCCTGCGACTGTGGGACACGTTTGGTGACCATGAGAAGGACAGGAGGTTTGCCTATGGAAGGTAGGATTGAAACGATTATAGTGCTGAGTTAATGTGTGATGTGGTTTTGTATGTCTTCATCTGTTACTGTGTTTCATTGTGATCTGGCTGTCATTCAGTACCAAGGACAGGAATGGTACTGTATCTGTCATTCAGTACCAAGGACAGGAAGAGTGGTGAAGATGTTACTTAGTACTAAGGACAGTAAGGGTGTTGTAGCTTTAATTCAGTACCAAGGACAGTACGTGTGTTGTAGCTAACATATCAGTACCAAGGACAGGTTAAGTGCTGTAACTGTCATCCAGTACTAAGGACAGTTAGTTTAGTGTAGCTCTAATTCAGTAACAAGGACAGTACATGTGATGTAGCTGACATTTCAGTACCAAGGACAGGTTAAGTGCTGGAACTGTCATCCAGTATAAGGGCAGTAACTTTAGTGTACCTTACATTCAGTACCAAGGACAGAAAGAGTGGTGTAGCTCTAATTCAGTACCAAGGAGAGTAAGTGTGATATAGCTGACATTTCAGTACTAAGGACAGGTTAAGTGCTGTAACTGTCATCCAGTACTAAGGACAGTAAGTTTAGTGTAGCTGAGATTCAGTTCCAAGGACAGAAAGAGTGCTGTAGCTTTAATTCAGTACCAAGGACAGCAAGTGTGTTGTAGCTGCCATTTCAGTACCAAGGACAGTTTATGTGCTGTCACTGTCATCCAGTATTAAGGACAGTAAGTTTAGTGTGGCCGACATTCAGTACCAAGGACAGTAAGAGTGGTGTAGCTATCATTCAATACCAAGGACAGGAAGAGTGGTGAAGATGTTACTTAGTACTAAGGACAGTAAACTTTAATTCAGTAGCTTTAATTCAGTACCAAGGACAGTAGTGTGTTGTAGCTGACATTTCAGTACCAAGGACAGGTTAAGTGCTGTAACTGTCATCTAGTACTAAGGACAGTAAGTTTAGTGTAGCCGACATTCAGTACCAAGGACAGGAAGGGTGGTGTACCTGCCATTCAGTGCCAAGGCCAAAAAGAGTGGTGTAGGTATCATTCAGTACCAAGGCCAAGAAGAGTGTTGTAGCTGTTTTTCAGTACCAAGGGCATTAGGTTATTGTAGCTGTCATTTAGTACCATGGACATTAACAGTGTTCTAGCTGTCATTTCAGTACCAAGGACAGGAAGCATGTTGTGACTATTAATGTGTCTGTTTGTCTTTGTGTATTTCCATATGCCAGTTTCTGTATATGTTGTCTCTTACCATCAAGGGGGTGAAATATCTAACTGCCTTGTTGTGTCAGTCATTGTTAATAAATATTTGATGTATGTTTTTTTAATAATGTGCTATAGTGAGCAATACCCACTTATGTGTTATGTGTTCCATATGTGTTATGTGCCATGCATCAAGATTCTTATTTTGGTTTCCTCTTGCATATCAACATGTACATGTACATGTTGTACTTGTGAATTACCTTTAGGATTATTAATTTCTGGATGAGGGGGTTAGATAGTAGAATTGATGAAAATGATAAATTTTAGCAGATATCAACTTTATTTGGATCTAAGCCAATATAACAGATGTTAACGTAAGATAGGCATCTACAAGAGACTGGGAATACTCGATGAGAGTTTGATTATAAATTATGGCAGATGTATTTGGCGTATGTGTAAGTCTGCAACATTTGTTAATATTTCATGTACCTTCCATGCATACAAATGAATGAATGAATGGTTTATTCAGGTTAAAATCGCTTGCAGGCAATTTGCTGAATTGTGGATTTCATTACAATACTTGGTACTTTGTAAAAGACAATGATAGAATTTACATTCATAGTAATTAATATAAAATAAGTCCTTTTCATAGATATTTAACAATTATTGTGATTCCTATACACACTGCATTAGCCATGCACCAGTCACTCCTAACATAGAATATGGAGGTAGAAAAAACCTCCATGCATAAGACCAGATGTATGTACCACAGGTATTGAATTGCCAAGGTCTTTTTGCAATCTTTGACTAAGAAATATAACATTCAACACATTTTTTCCAACAATTAGGTTATCAATCACTCTATATGTTGGGTTACAAATGAAAATTGCTCTCTTTCGACCACTTTTGGACAGACCACCCATGCAATCGAATTATCAGACCAGCAAACAGAACTATCATTACCATAAAGTTTTCATTTCAATAATGCCACGCTCAAGTCTCTCCTAGTCATGTTCTGGCATTGTTTGACCCTCCCGGTGAATGATGCACAGATGTTGTCCACTCACAAGTGTCAGTAAGTAACATCGCATGTCTAATACTTGGCCTAGTTCAGAGCCTCAGTGTAGAGGGAACTGGCTGCGCTGTCATGATAGAGTTAGTCTGTTCACTGTCCCCAGCATTCCCCTGTAAAAGTGCATGATCAGACAGACTTACTACATGTAGCAGTTTATATACATATAGCATAGGTTACCAACTAATTCATTTGTACATGGTAGTCATCGCCAAACGACTCACCCATAACTAGAACTAGAACTGCCATACATAAAAAGTGAAGAAACAAATCCACACACTTTTACTTATGGCATCAAGTAAAAGGCATTGATTTAAAGCTGTAAGTTAGGAACATTGAACATTGTTGGAATTTCATCGCCTTGGTCACATTGGAATTGGTGTTACCATCTATCTATGCTAAAGAACCCTTCATGCATGGCTACAGGGCAGTTCTAGTCCCTGGTGTAACAGGCCAAAGTGTACCCCTGGCCAAAACATACCCAGGTAATATTCTGGTCAGGGGTTTGTTCCGATCTGTTACACTGGTGTACATGTGGCTTCCAGTAATATACACTACAGCAGCTAATAGTATAGAATACAGTATGCTGAGGCTGGAACCTTACGTTGTGGCACTAAATTTCCACTTCACTGAATCCAGCCACTTTTCTAGGTCGGATGTGGTGCTGCTGTGCTTCTCCATCGCCAACCCGACCTCGCTGAAACACGCCATGCTCATGTGGTACCCGGAAATCAAGCAGTTCTGTCCCCACGCCCCAATCATCCTCACCGGGTGCCAGGCTGATCTCCGCTACGCCGACCTGGACTTGTACAACAAACACAAAGGGCCCTTTGCAAGGTAAGTTGGGTTCACGTAGCAAATATACAACGCATGTTGCACTGCTGGCAGTTAATAGAATAAAGTAGAGTGGATTCATTCCTCAAGCCAACCAACATCTTTCACACCACAGTCAGCCCTCAATGAGAAATCTGGAGCTGCCTGTGACAGGCTGAATAAAAGGTATAAATGGGAACTATGCAGCTCGAGATGTCTTACTGAGGGATGACTGTGGTATGAAAAATGTTGGTTAGCTTGAGGAATGAATCCACTCTTACTTTTATGAACCAACTGCACTTTATCCCGCTGGCAATTACTGTTCAGAGCCATACTGCTACCTTTATTTTAGATTGGAAATAAATTTTCAATTGGAAATAAATTTTCAATTCTCTTTGCTACAACGAAATTTGAGTCAGTTTGGAAAATTGGTCTGGTACGTTTGTATAACCGAGCAAAACCTACATGTAGTTCAAGTATATTGTCTACAGGACAACTTGTTTCCTTTTTGCCGGTAGAAAAGTCAAGCCATCAGACATCATGATGCCTGATGAAGGGAGGAGCGTGGCTAAAGAACTCGGCATTCCTTACTACGAAACCAGCGTCGTGGACAACTACGGCATCCGCGACCTGTTCCACAACGTGACGCGGGCGGCTCTCCTGGCCCGGCGCTCCTTTCTGTTCTGGAAGTCCAACCTGAAGAAGGTGCAGAAGCCCCTGCTGCAGCTTCCCTTCCTCCCTCCCCCTCCCCCGCTGCCAATCATCACCGTGCCATCAAACACTCACGTGGAGGAGCTGAGGGACTTCTTCCACAACCCTGTCTGCAGTGACGTGACGTTCCTAGCCCAGGGGGTCAGGGTTCCTGCCAACAAAGTCTTCCTCGTCGCTGCCTCGCCTTTCTTCAAAGACCTCTTCATGATGGATCTGTCGCAAGACCTGGCCAATCAGAAGGACCCGTGCACGACCCTCCTTGACAATGACCCCTCCAAAGAGAATGGCTCGTCATCAAGGACTTCCAGTTTACAGGTGACGACAAGCCAGCTGCTAGGCCAGGCGGACGCCAACGGAAATGGCGCCGCAGACTTCCACGGTTTCCCCAGCCACGTCCTCGACCATTCCGTCGTCCATTCCATTCACTTGGCGAATGGAAGCGATCCCTTTGTGGAATCCGAGCGGCCGACCTTGCACACCTTTGTGACCCTGAGTCCCAGTGTTCTTCCTAACGTGTTCCAGCATTGCCTTGAGTTCCTGCACACGGGACAGTTGGAGGAGAAGGGTCTCCCCCTGGCTGACATGCTGCACCTGGCAAAGGAGTTGCAAATGGTCGTCTTGGTAGAGATGATCAGGAACCGTCACAACGAGGAAGAATTTATGAATTCCGAAGTCTCCTTCCGATTCCATAAACGGAGAAATTCCGCATTGAAAGAATTGCTTTCCAAGGGCGTGCTGTCAGGTAGGTATTTGCATGTGCATGTGATTGAAACTTTAAAGCCTTTTTTTTTAAATGTAGGAAATTACATGTGATATTTTTGCCTTTAAGTTAGTTTGTTTATTCTGCTACACAACTATACATAGTTAAACACCATTGTCCTTTTATATATGTAATATGTATCTATATCTGCATGTAAATTTTGTTATATATCTGTGTCTATGTCTGAGTGTTGTCCTGAATGTTACCTGGGGGCATCCATACAAATGTGCATGCACAGATTAATGGGCCCAGACCAAGTTTTTTTTTCCTGTGCTGACAGCATAGCGGTCATTTCTCCCCTGCAGATGTTCTGTTCCGTGTGGATGACGGAACAGTCCCGGCCCACAAGCCTTTGCTCATGGCACACTGCGATGTCATGTCGGCCATGTTTGGTGGGAACTTCCTAGAGAGTTCCATCAATGAGGTCAGCTGTTGCCTCCATATTTTTAACCTTGAGATTCTTCTTTTGTCTTCAGTTTTTAGACACCATGCCTTTATTTGTAATTCTACACAGTCTATACCTTGTTTAGTCGAAATGTACTCCTATTAGAAACATCTTTAATCTAGTTATCTGCAATGACATAGTAGTTAGTCATCTACTATTCAGACTCAGAGCCTTATGATGCAATATGCTTCAAAATTGAGTCACACTCGTCAATCTATGATCATAGAGAGAGCAGAAGACCTCCCATGAGTCCTGAAAATCAGTTCAAAATCTACCAAAGGATGTTATCTTCTCACTGTAATCTTCATATCAAAGTGTTCACCACTGTATTAGTGTCCTACCGGTATACTTGAATGTGATTTGATCACTAAAAAGCCACTGGTTTCCAAACCTATTTTAGCTGCGGAATCTCTTAAGTCCTCTCCGCAAACAGCTATTTGCAGTGAGGATGAAAGAGATGAAATAGGTAATTAAAAAAAAAAGGTTTGGTAACCAGGCTGGTTGGTATATCAACATGGCAGCAGATGCACCAATGGCATCACAAGAATTATATAACGCCCTATACTTCCCCCAGGTGCCTCTGCCAGGGACGACCAAAGCTTGTCTACAGGCCCTGCTGGAGTACTTGTACACAGGACAACTGTCCCTGCCGGCCAACAGGGACTGTATCGGCCTGATAGAGCTAGCCAACAGGATATGTCTGCCCAGACTCGTAGCTCTTACAGGTGAGCCTCCATCCTTTAAATCTTTGCTTTGAGATACAAAGATGCAGTGGGAGAATAGATGGCTCATTTAGCAATTGTTCTATAACTGATAAGTCTAGTATTCCTTTTTGCACAATCCATTGTGTTTACATGCATAAATGTTGCTGAGCATTGTTATGAAAGGGACTTCATCTTGGGATGTTTAATAGCCATACTGAAGCATGAATAAAGTAGTATTCAGTATGCATATAAAATTATATACTGTAAGTCTCTTTAGATTCGCGGGGCCTAAAGTTCGCGGTTTCGGGAAAATGGACAATCCGCGGTATTTTTCGATTCGCGATTTCTCCTTGGCTATTTTTCAAAGAAAAATTTGTAAAGTGTATATTTAAAATAATAAAAGTTCGTGTTCCGGCATTTATATCCTAAAACGCGGCGCAAAAATTTGTTTCGTGCACCGCGCGAGACTGCCGGTGGTATAGATGACGATCGATCTGACGCACGTGTAAACAATTTTCTTTGTTCGGAAATAAGCGCTAAAACGCTATTTTCCACAACTACACATTGATACTCTAGTGAAGAAATGCATAATCGAAAGAATCTTTCGGGAAAATATATATTACTAAAAATATTTATGCCGTCTTCGGCGAGATTTTGAACCCGGAAGTATGCAAAGGTCGCCTTCGGTTTTGTAGCGGCCCACGGTAGCGTTTCTATCCAGCAAAAAAAAAAAACGCCCGCAAAGCAGGGCGCAAAAGAGAATCAACTAACATTTCCCAGATACCAGCAGTTATATTTTTAATCAAAATATTTGTAGATATGCCCGATGTGCCCGCAATTTTCAAGCGCCCGGGCGCGCATGGCCGGCGCTCTGCATACAGAGATTTTTGTCCGGCGGTGCACGTTTGACACGGCCAGTGCCTCAGTACTCAACATACGTACATTTGCTAAGAATAAAGTTGATTTGCAGTGATTTGTGTTTGTTGCGTGTGTTTGTGTTTCGCTTACCGTCGTTAATGCATGTGGGGAGGGGGGCGCACTTACGCAAAACATATTCGCGGGGAAATAGATTCGCGGTAGTAAGTTCCCCGCGAATTCCGCGAATCTAAATATACCGCGGAAATTTGTAGACTTACAGTAGTATTTACATGCACATGATCTCTCCAATCCCTGCACAGCATCAAATTCGCCATTTGCATTATCATATTTGTCTAGAAAATTGTTGTGTTTGTATTTTGCTGTTACATGTGTTTTCTTGTTGCCTGATAGAACATCACATTGTCCTTGAGCTGACCCGGGCCAGGGAGAATAACCAGGACATCCACCTGGAGGTGCTGATGTTGCTGGAACCTGCACAGGTGAGCTGACTAGCCTTACCTTTATACATGTCACATATCTGTAACGTTACATGCCACATACATGTACATGTATCTATCTGTCCTGCACAGGACCATCCTTTCCTGTACATGTCACATGTCTGTCCTGTTACAGTGGGCTTCTCACAAGGTTGAATAGAATGGAATTTTTTAAAATTCCCTCAATCATGCCCCCCTAGCTTTAAATCATTTCCGAGCATAGTAATATCTTAACAGGTGGCTATGATTTCCCTCAGTAATGTCCGCCTAGCTCCACAATGCCTCCCAGCTTAATACTGTCTTATTAGGTGGTTATACTAGTAATTTCCCCCATGCATGCCCCCCTAGCTCCATGACGTTTCCGAGCATAGTAATATCTTAACAGGTGGTTGTGATTTCCCTCATGCATGCCCCCTAGCTCCAAAACATGTCCAAGGTTAGTACTGTCTAAATAGGTAACTATGATTTCCCTCATTAATGTCCCCCTAGCGTTGACGTTTCCCAGCATAGTACTGTCTTAACAGGTAGCTATGATTTCTCTCATTCATGCCCCCCTAGCTCCACAATGCCTGCCAGCTGAGTGCCTGGTGCCTGTCCCACATCACCACCAACTACAAGCACATCTGCCGCAGATACTCCAAGGAGCTTCACACCCTGACGCCAGAAACGCAGCAGTACGTGGCAAAACATCGCTGGCCCCCTATCTGGTGAGGCAGACCTTACCATTCTGTGTTACTAGTTACCTTCGTGCTGACATTATAAATGTCAATGATGAATGAGACATGATTCGAGAAGTCTCATGATATTAATTGCCGCACTGACATGTAAAATGTGGCTTTTTTTTTAAGACATTACAACTTGAAGGTGATTTTTTGCCTCAGATGTTCTTGAATCTAGAAATACACAGTTACCTGATGACTTAAACTACTTAGTATTGCCTGTAGAGATTTTTTATATCATTAGTCACATCATCCCTTCTTCTTTAATATGTGTCTGATATTTTTCAATTCAAGGTATCTGAAAGAGCGAGACTACTATGAGAAAGCACAGAGGGAACGCGAGAGGGCAGAGGAAAAGAAAGCAGCTCTCCAGAAAGTCAAGCGAGTGAAGAAGTGGTGCTTCTGAAGGGGGAAAGACCAAGTCCAAACATGTTAGCATCGTCAAAGGGAGCTCCATGAAGAGCTAAGGGTCATGTACAGTGCCACAGGTTGAGGAAGTTTGGGGTATCAAGTGCACAATTGCTGTATGACTTAAATAGAGGTATATGTAATGTTTATGTAAAAGTCTTCAGAGTAGGGAGAGTGGAACATTTCTTCATTGCACGATGAATGTAACACATCTTACCCATAACTAATTCACAATGCACTTTGAGCTGTATTATTAGATTCAGATCACAGGTATTTGTGTAACACAGCACCTAACTCTTAACATTAATGAGTAAACGAACTTAATATCATCTAACCAATCTGTTAGCTTATGTTGTCTTTTGTCAGGGGAAAACAACATAACATAACAAAACATTACAGTCAACACAGCAGCTAATGATGATCAGACTATTCTGCCTTAATACAATAGACAAAAATATTTGATTGAGTACCGTGGAAAACTATAATCATTGAAATGCTGCATTATTTGTCAGTCAAGAGAGGTCAGTATATTATATATGTTATGTATATGCTATCTATAGCCAAATTCTTGGATAAAAATTCCATGTCTTCCTACAGAATGTTGATTGAAAAGTGCCCTGCATGTAGTACTTAGAATATGTACAGTTATATATATCATGTGACTGATCAGAGATTTGAAATGACAAAGGAATTGTAATAATCCCATCTTTAGGAAAAAAATAATTTGCTATAATTTCAGTTTAATCACTCCAATCTACAGTTGACCTACATGATGTGTTTGTATTTCCTACAGAGCTAGGGAAACTTAAAGTTAAAGAAATAGAAAAATTAACTAAATAAAATGTAAATTTACTAAGAGTTGCAACAGCAAGATTTAAATTAAATATTTGTAACTTGCTTGGACCAAATCAATGCCTTAAATATATATTATAGCAGTTGCTTCATTGTTGAAAATTACCAGAGAAACAGTGACTTCACTTGTGGTATACAACTTTCTGTTGCACATCGCAATTTGGACAACAGTAATCAGGAGGGTAGGCGTAGATTTTGACGCCCCTATGTTCTGACAACCCTATGTCCGACGTGGGGTTTAGGGTTGTCGGAACATAGGTTGAGTTGTTAGAGCATATTGGGGTGTCAGAAAATAGGGGTGTAACTGCATGTTACACTCATGAATGTGGTAAATGCTAGACTGTTTTCCTACAGAGTGAAAAATTAGTGCAATTAGATGAAGAAAATAATCACAGACTGAAACACAACAAAGTGGTAGTTATTTAGCACTCTGCTTGTACTAAGGTAGCCGTTTGACACCAAAGTTGTATTGGTTATGGGGTCAGGCAGCAGGAAGAAGGTTAAATATTATAATATGAAGCTTACACTGTGATAGAGAAAAGCTTACTGAATGTATCATCAGATGTTGGAATGTGTTGGGAATATATCTGTAGTAGTATGTACAAATGTACATGTAACGTAAGTGATGAAAATAACAGGTGGTTTTACGAGTCTTGCCCCATGACATAAAAATACACAAATCTCGTCAAATCACACCAGAACATATTGATAGCAACCTGAAACTATAGCCATAATTGATATGTGATGAAAAATTGCCAGCAAAGTCTAATATTGTTTTGTAGATGTTTCTTTTGATTCCATATGATTTGTGATATTGTGTTTCTTTTTAGTGTGTGTTAACAAAATGAGCATGTGTTAGCAAAATTTTATTCAGTGGAAAAAGTTTGGCATTGAGTTTGGAAGAAATGTGCCAGTACATTAACTTGTTGTTACTGGAAGTGCCATCATATTACTAGGCGCACGTATATAGTTTGTCTTGTACTTTGACAGTTACATACACCTTAATTAAGTGGAGTTACTGGTACCACGTAAATGACAGAGTTTAATGCACAACTTTGTGATTTGACAACTGTTAGTAGAGTTGCAAATGAGTGGAACTTTAGTGTGTACAACTGTCTGATCACTAGTGTGGCACTAGTCTGTGATAAGAAGTCCTGGAATGTCACTTGTGTCATTTTCAAGGTCATAACATTTCAGAAATATGCATATATCACTTCAATCTCTTGTAGAATGTATTTTGATGGCAGTCATCCACTGCTAATGTGAACTAACATTGCCAGCTGTTTGTTAAGTTTGAAATCTTTAAATGATACCAAGAGTTGAAAGAGAAGCTGAAATTAGAAAAAAAAAGCTGTTTGGCCAAAGAGTGTCACATTGATACAAGGACATTATCTACTTCAATATAATGCCCTTGGTCAATGGTAAAATGATTAACCACAATCCCAAGAACAGATAAAGAAAAGTTGTTGATTGAAATACAAACAGCACAAGACACACTTGTGAAGGGTAGTATCTACTAGGGACCCATCTTTTTGATGGTCACTTTTGTACTATAACAGGTCAGTTTCAACCAGTAAATTGCATTTGACGGGTAGGCATTTGTTTTAGAGACTTGTGAAGGGTATCACTAGTGCTCAAAATGTACCCAAACTTATTTGGATAAGCCAGTAAACAGATGATACAACATGCATCTTGAAGTACGTAGTCAGCAAGAAACACCACCCCCTGCTAGTGCTGTATTCCAATATGCAAAGCATGTGCAGTCCACCACTGTACACTGAATGCCTACTTCCATGTTCAGGACAGTATTGAGGCCGGTAGCTTTCTTGTGATCATGAGGATGGTTTGAACCATCATTGCATGCTGACAGATGTCAACATATTGAATCATCTGAGTACTATATTGTTATGTTTAGAGATTAGCTACCTTAAAGTTTACTTTTTACATTCTTTTTCTTGCATTCCATATCCTTGTCATGAATTTATTATTACATGTCACATTGATTTATTTTGTCATGTTGCAACATTCAATGTAATATCATCATCTTAACTTTAAATCCTGTTGTTGGAGATATCACAGCACCTGCTGTAGTTAGGGATTATGCAAAAATGCCAGTAGAAACAAGAAATTAAAAGGCTTTGCCCCTGAGGTGTGGCCAAAAATTAGATTGACAAACAACTAAACCAGGCAGAGCATTTTAACATTTAACATCAATGCTCAAGTGCTCTATGGGTGCCCTGTTTATGGTACCAATTTTGTATCTATTGAGGTGCTACGAAACTGCTGGGTTAGTTACAGTCTTCTATCTTCATGTTTAGTACCAGTACATCGCAATATTGAGACATTATCATGTTGAACACTGTTTGCATAATTATTTAGTAGCAAACTGACTATACTAGAGTGTGTTCATAGCAAAATACATGACGATGCTAGTGTCGTGTACAGTGATACAAAACTAATGCAATGTCTTAACATTTAACTTCAGAATCTGTTGCACAAGCACGGTTTGCATACATGTACAGCAACTTGTAGTGTATCCCATGCTGGCATTACTGGGTTAAATGTTACATGTATCACTGTTGGTATAATGTCAACCTCCAAATCATCCGCACCATCAGCTTTCAAAAAACACGTCAAGGACAGGTTAAAAACACAAACATACACAAACAGACCCCTGAAGCATTGGTGGTAACATTATGATTTTTAAATGTAAATATAGAACTTGTATGTATTATTTATTGCACTGACCTCTGACCTCTCAAACAATCTCTTACGTATACCTTATTACTTGTTGTATATAGGATAGGATAGGTTAACTAATTGCTACAGGTTGTTGTATTTTATGTGTGGCAATAAGCAACTGTATGTACGTCTGTGTTATAAGTTTGTAATGTTGTTTTTAAGACTCCAGGAAGAATAGTGAGTATAAGCGTATGCTTATACTCACTAATGGAGATCCTTCAAATAAACAAACAATAAACAAACAGGTTAACATGAACCACTGATTCCTAGAGCTCATTGTATACTAGTATTAGCCAGCTGTACTAAGAGAAGTTTGTGAAGCTATTGTAAGGCCACAGCAACTAAATTTTATGGATGACAATTTACCATGCAGATTCACAAATCAAATCTGGAAGTAAAAAAAAAAGATGGCCCCCCCAAAAATTAAGATGCCTAAATTTTCAAAATATTGGCCACAAACATTGTAACAAGAATTGGTGTGAGACAACATGATATCACAGCCAAGCAGTCTTTTATTCCTGTATTCAAGAAGTACAGAAAGTGACAGTAGTGTGGTAGCTGAGAATCACTGCAACTGCACTCAACGCTACCACACCGGTGTCACTGCTGCACCCAACATATCGTCAAAGGGGAACAACTATTTTTAATCAGGTGAAAATCAATGTGTGCACGCAGATGTCATCCATAAAGCTTCCTTGTTGTTGCCCAAGTAATCATTTGTGTGCATTGTATACGTTTGAATCATCGTAAGATGAATGCTAACAGCTGTAGTGAAGTACAGCACGCCAGTTTAGTCACTCAGTGCCAAGGACCTGTCTTAGCCAGTTCATATCTAAGTTTGGAGGATCCTAAAATGCTTTCTCCATCTGGCAGCTTTTTAACTCCATTCTGTGGAAATCTGAACCCCAGTCAGAACTATTGGTGCCACTGGAAAGTCACCCCCTGGATGCCAGTTCCAAGAAATGCGGCATTGTCTGGGAAGATGTGTTGAAAGGAAGGGTAACGAATTCCAACGCATCTGGCACCAAGGGAATCGCAAAAGTGCACCCTCTACCACCTAAACGCCTTTCTGGAATTTGGTGATATTTTGGGACAGACTTTTATTTTTCTATATAACTGTGAAGTTCAGGGACATAGTGGTTTAGCGTGGTTGTGGTATAAACGCTGACTGCACGTGTTGTTTAGCACAGATGAATAGTGGACTTTGTGAACTTGTTGTAGGGCCAGCTGATATATGAAACTGTAGGATGTCTTAATGTGTACTTTGCTTCTAATAAAGCAATGCAGACGTATGAACGTGTACTCTTTTCTTTACATGACAGAAAAATCAAGCAACGAGCCGCAGTTGATGTTCCTTCATAAAGGACTTTTATCTCAATGTGTGACTTCCATGTTCAACTTCACACCTCTATGATCACTGTCGGTGGATTACCCCAGACGGGGGTACAGGCTCCAGCTCAAAAACAAGAATATTCCAAGAATACACAGCATTCACTTCAGGTGTAGCCTGGTATCCAGCCTTGTTAGCTTTAGCCCGATCTTGGGTAGCGGACTAAAGCTAACAAGGCTGGATACCAGGCTACTTCAGGTGCCTTCAGCCAAAATGCATTTCTGTTAAAATTGAGTTTTCTACTCCCACTATCGGAGCCTGCACTGCTCCACTCCAGGATAAATCCACCGACAGCTGCATGTGTTTCCCAAAGGCCACACCAATTTGATTTCTTGGTTAACGGATTTTTGAAGAAAAATAATGGAGCGGGCGGGCGAAAAAAAATTAGAATAAAAACAGCCCTAGGCATCCTATTATGGTCCAAAATGGTACGATAGGAGCCATGAAGTCAACATACCATGCTGGTTCAAAATTCAAACAATGAATTTTTAACTTTTAATGATACCACTGCATTAAAAGATGGAATAACTGTAACAACTAGGAAGAAAAGGACTGTTTTCAACTGTTCAGGGCAAAATATGAGCATTTTGCACTTGATTCTGAATTTTTATTTTTATTTGCAAATCAGAAAAAAATGAAGCGGGCAAATCCGTTAACCAAGAAATTAAATTGGTGTGGCCAAAGACATAAATAAAAGTGAACAAAGCAGTGACACTATCTTATATCATAACAAAAGCACCACAAGAGTCTTGCCAAATATCATCACTGCAACAAATTCACAGTACATGATTTGATTCACTTATTAAGTTGCTATGCCTAAGAACGTATCATAAGCCTCCCGGGTAACCAGGGGGTGTTAAGAGTAACAAATATGACAACACAGTTGTTATATATGTGCATCATGGCATTTGACATCTCATCTCCCATGCTCTATCAACATGTAGGGCACTACAGTATGCAGTAACAACACTATGATTAAGATATGTGAAGAGAAACTGATTTCAATACACTATTGTTTCCCCACCGTTCCCTAGGTCAAATATCCACAATGGACAGATACTGTCATATCTAGATAAGAACCTCCAAGCATCACAAACTTAACAGAAAAAAAAAAACACTTCAACGTGTTAAATAAAAAATGCAGCTCATGGTGTTTTGCTAGATATATTCACCAAAGCAATGACATAAAAGTAAAAACAGTGTTAGAAAATTAGGGATTTCAAAGCACAGTAACCTTTTTTTCCTTATGGTGTCAAAGAAAAACTAGTTTGAAGGGATTGAGAGCAGAGCTGGTGTTGTTGTCTCTGGTCCCTGTGGGTCACAGCAAGATTGACAGAACATCTTTCTGTGCATGCTGCCCAAAAATGTGCGCCCTCTAACAAAAGTCACCGGTACTGCAAATTGTTGGGTCCCTGAAGATACGGTGGCATACATGTGCATGTAAGCCTCTACATCTCTATACAAAGTGGGTAAATATATAAGAGTATCAAAGGACATGTCTACAAAGTACAGGATAAACCACACCGTTAGAGAGGTGTGCACTAGTGTACAAAGCATATATAGTATACGTATACTGTGTATACACAAACATTTTCACATTGAACAGTTTCATGCAGTCATACGTTGCCCTACATAGTGAAAGATAGGTAATGTAAAATCCTGGCTTGGTTCAGTCCTGATATTCTATTAGTGTTCTCTTCTTTTTTAACAATGTATATTTACATATGGTGAGTGCTCTAATACAGCATGGTAAGGACAACTACATGTTGTATAGGTCAGTACATCATCGTGAATGAAAAATAATGAAAAATACTGAAAATAAAAATCACCTTTCATACAAGTTTGAAACAATTGAGCACATAGCAAAACTGTCTACAATTTCAACTTCCACAACTCAAAAAGCACCATAGATTCCTAGATGAATCTAAAAAAGAAAACATAACAGTATCAGATTTGAAATGGGGTGCCTACAGTCAACTGAAGATCTTTCAAAGCTGCATGAGTTCACCCCTGAGATACGTGTGTTACAGACAGAGATTTTGTGGCAAGGTGCGGTACATTTACCCTGTGTTGGTCTCCTTGCTATGAACCTCACAGTCTTTGAGTTCTGCTGCACATGTATGAGCTGTGCGTTCCTGTATGAAGTGTGACTTGCACGCTCATGATATGTCATTTCTAACGGGAAAGGAACAGCTTGCAAAATAAAAGACGCTAGACTAGTAACTCATGGTTTCCAGAGTTGAGTGTAAGTGTAAGCACCTAACCATAAACCTTTCTTTCAAATATGTATACCTTACAGCTTGTAGGTACATATCTGGTCTATATGATAAATTCGTTTATAATCTTTTGTGCATCAAATGAAACTGTCAATGCATGCCCTTCTCTGCCTACAATAAACAGCCTTTCATAGAAGTAGATGCGACTTCCATACAGTTTTCTTACTGTGTTCTTCAGTAGGCTGTATACACAGTTTTGCAGATTGGGGTGGGGGGGGGCAGGGGAATACCTTACATACACTTGTCAGAGTAGCAGTCTTTGCTACTCTGACTTTCTTTTCCTTTTTACAAATCTACATGTATAACTGTATAGATAGTTTTTAGACTTTTTTCGTACACATCTCATAGCTTACATATTCACTACCACTTTTCCTTTGTCCATTTACAGCTCTTCCAGCTACTTTTATGAAACATTTGCTGCAATGTTACCATACGGACACAAACATGAGTATAGGGGAGAAATGCCGCGATGAGATCTTGAGAGCGTGGTCAGAACTTTTTGCATCACTTTGTCAAATGCCTTTTAGTCATCGTCATCACTGTCTGATAGCTGCTGGTGTCGATGAGCAATCTTCCTGTACCTGTAAGGTTCCAAAAACAATGTTATGAAATCTTAGAGTTAACAAACCAAGTAACAAAAGCCGCACTGTAATGTCTATAGATAAACTCAAATTTAATTTAATTTGTATAGAAAGGTAAGGCATGACCTAAATGTGGTCAGACTGCTCCCCAACTTCAGCCAACCTTGGTTGGTGGTTGGGGGAACATGTGACAGGGTCTGTAGTAAGGTGAACGGTAAAGCCAACTGACTGAAGTTGACACGAAACTGGAGGAAGAAGAAGAAACCCAAACCTGTCCATCCACTCGTCCATCATCTGGTTGATGAGAGGAGGACGTTTGTTGATCTTCTGCTGAGCCACCAGGATGCCTCCGTCTGTCACACAGCAGTCCATCCACTCCTTCAACAGTCTCTCCTCTGCACCAAGCTGAGGGGGAAACAACAATTTCAGGGATGGTTCATAAATGACTGATTCTCTCAACCCCAAAGGCTAAACTCTACTTACTGATACTCTGCAGTTCTGACCTGTTCCCTCCACTACCTGTCACTCTGTATTGAGACATATGGCATATATAGATGATACAATGCTGAACATTATTCCAACAAAAACAGTGCACAAGGATCAAATTTTCAATGACCACTGTCATGATCACCTTCGAATTCATCAGGATACATAATGACCAATCACTTCTGTGACTAAATAAATTGTGTTGGAATGAAGTTTAGCATTGTACTACAAACACCCACCCTCTTGCTCCCAACACAACCTTAAATTATCATGAAAGTTCATCTGTGTTGGTAGTAATCATAGTAAAACGTTAAACTTTATTCCAACACACAATTTACAGGGATCAAATTTTCAGCGACCACTGTCGCCTTCATCAGTATAATTAATGACCAATAACTTCACAACGTGATCTCGCGAGAGTTACAAGCCTAAATTGACGTCTTAACACCAAATGAAGTTGGTAGTGAGAAATCATCTCACCTCCTGTGCTGTGAGGAAGTGAACCGGCAGCAGCTTGCCCTCAGCGTCCATGAGGGGCAGGAAGCACACCTGCACGCTGTTCTCCGTGTCCAGGTTCGCCCCCGCTCCCACGTCGTCCGACTCGGGCTCCAGCGGGACCAGCGCCGAGAAGTGGCCGCGGGTATACCCCAGGGCGATGGGGCTCTTCCAACAGAAACTGGGTTCCCATAGTAACGGCAAGTAAACACCTGCAGGCAGAAAGATAAACGATTACTAGAAAGGTAACAATTGCAAGGCAAATGCATTGTGTTTACCTTCACAATATGGTCTAGCCTAACAAACTAAAATGCATTCATGCATATGGTGACCAGCCCCTCCAGCTCTGTCATGCTAAATAATATAACCCAACACCACGGGGTGTCTTCTACAGCACCAGTTACCATGGTGACAGAAGCCTGGTCCAGGTCATTAACTTTTTTGTTTGGAGAAAAATTCCTCCTAAGAAATAAGAGGAAATACATGATGTTTGAACACATTGTAATGCCACCTAATCCAGAAGATGGCAGGGCATTAACATGTACCTTTTGGCTTAACCAAGGAGGCATATTACAGTAAACCACCTCCGCCTATCGGACAACTTACCTTGGAACCTTGCATAGCCTAGTGTTTCACCACGGAAGCTCTTGAAAAATTTGACGCCATAAACAATGATGGGTCGACGTAGGATGTGTGCTAGGGTAAAGATGTGGGTCTGTTCCAGAGCAGCACCTGGAAAATACAGTTATTACAGTTATTATTCCTTCGTCATGGTTATTGTAAGAATTTATTCTTTCATTGAATCAGTCATCCTATCTATATCTACATGAATCATATTCCTTTACATGTCAGTCTTTCCTAATCCTAGCATAAGTTTCCCATGTAGCAAAAGGATGTCCAATAGGTGCAGCTTATCTATATGACAGAGTTTTACCTGGTTGAGAGGCCAGACTGAGCAGCAGTGCCCAGTCCTGCTGCCACTGGGACTCGTCCAGTGTGAAGTGGAGCTGCTGGGCCTGCCAGGCCTCGTACTCCTTCCAACGGGCATAGAAGCTACAAAAACAACCAAAAAAAATGTTTACTACAGGTGCAATAAGATGACAACATTCAACAACATTCAGCATTTTGGGACCAAAACATTCGACTTTTGCTTCTCATGCATGCCAACTCATTTTTATCAAGTACAAGAACATATATTGTCAATTTGCATCTTTGTTGATTGTCATATCATGATTGTTGATAAGCCATTCACAACACAAGAAACTCCAATACCAATACCTATTTTGTGTAAGCATCATATGGTACAGTTAAGAAGACCATGGGTTAAATTATACAAGAAAAAAGATACATTAAGGAACACATTAGATTCATATTCTAATGATCACAATTCTATTAGAAGAGTAGTATCTTTTTTTAAAGTAATTTTAAGTTTTATACAAGTGTTAAGTGTCTGTTTGTTTGCTTGTTTGTTTCTGTCTTACTTAGCAAGGTTGGCCAATCACAGTGGAAGACACTGCTTTACTAGTGGGGCCCTGGTATTGGTGTGGACATAGATACTTTTAGAGGGGTGTCCACACAAAACTGTTGACCATACCTGGTGGAGCACTCCATGAGGCTGTCAGCCAGCGCTCTCCGCAGCGTGGCGTCCTTGTCGAACACGCCCCAGGTGGCCTGCAGGGCCGAGTCCAGCAGACAGTCCCCCGCCGTACGGTTCCACAGTGCGTGCAGCTTACTGCCCAGCCGGTCCGTGATCTCATAGTTCCAGTTGATCACCGACTCCAGCTCCAATTCTGCCAGCGACAACAAGTTCCCCGTACATTGTTTGTTTGTAAATCATACATTCTGCTAAGCAGACCTACTGTACAAGCCAACCTGGCGTGATCCCATTGTGCCAGTTAATCACTGACTCCAGTTCCAAGTCTGATAGCAACAACAAGTTCCCGGTATATTGTTTGTTTATAAAATATACATTCTGCTAAGCAGACCTACTGTACATTCTGCTAAGCAATCCTAATGTACAAGTATCATAATACACTTGAAAACTGTTTAAAATTTCGCCACAATGTTGCTAAAGTAAAGTACAAATAGTGGTAAATGTAAGTACGAGGCAGTATACACTGTAAAAAGAAATCGCAAACATACATGGAAATTGCTTTAGATGCCATGTATATTTATGAACTACATGTATGTAGTCATGCATAAAGATGATTGAGGCATCTTTCATCTTTCCTTAACTTCCTTTTTTGTTCAAGTCAAGGAGCTTGAAGTGAAATCAGCAGATTCAAATTCAATGGTGTAATGTGCACTTTAAGTATAACATACATGTAGGTTGGGAATGTGCCTATTTGTTGTCAATACTACAGAATACCAGGATGTACAAAATGTATGTATATGACTAAGAAACAATGCCCAAGCCTTACCTTTCTGAACATCTTGGTCCAAGATCTCTTCATATAACTGCTTTTGTACAGCTGAGGGGAGGTCTTCAACTTCTGTAGGTGAACAAACATGTCAGTTATGAACTGGAATTTCACTTTCTGTATTCACTTTCAACCCAAGCACAACAGAGATACTAGTAAATAGTAGTGCAAGATGTATGTGTGATGTGTAATGCTCTGTGACCCCATTGTGTGAACCTAGCCTCCTTCGCAGTCTTGTTGGGCGTGGGCGTAATTTTTTCTGTGACCGACGCGAGTAATATGCCGCCGCGAGGGACGATTTGCTGCCGAGGGACTTTTGCCAAGGAGAGAAGGTTTCCGCGCTCCAACAAGACTGCTTCCAATCGGCGACTAGAAAGGACCTCGGATTAAGCCAGCCTTTCATAGAGGCTATTAACATGTTCGTGCAGGTCCAATTCACATGTTCGCGCAGGTCCAATTCACATGTTCGCGCAAGGGTAATTCACAGATACGCATGGAGCGCTCGCCTTTTGTCAACGGTTGGTTCTATTAGCTTGCGTTATAGTGGAAGGTTCCAACAGAGAAAGGTTGAACATTGGTAATGTTACAACAAAGGCATTGCTGTTCATATTTAAGCATCCCATGCAAACAAACCAAGACAAACTTTGCAGTACTATTTTTGCTGGTGAAATGTGCCATTCTTTTTATTACACAACTTGCTGCGGAGCGGTGCGTTACCCTCCTATGACCAGTGAGATCAACCCGCCACCAAACAACATGGCGGCACTTTTTTTATCTGTCCACGTCCCCCAGCAATATCGCTTTATAGCTTGCGGGTTCCTGTGGTAGTGATCTGTTTAAAGTTGTTTTTCGTAGCAGCAATGACTACGAGATTTTGTTGAGTGGATAGGGCTCGGTTTTCGGGAATGGTTGGCGTTCTACCGACGGGTTGATCGGCGACCGCTAGAAAGTTGCAAGTTTCGGCTCGTCGAGGAATGGGGCGTGAACACCTCCCTGCACTGGTGGCGTTTATTGCGGGAAGTTCACACATCCATGCCAATCGCTCCTAAGTGTTTTTTGATAGCCCTTTCTAGTCGCCGATTGGAAGCAGTCTTGTTGGAGCGCGGAAACCTTCTCTCCGTGGCAAAAGTCCCTCGGCAGCAAATCGTCCCTCGCGGCGGCATATTACTCGCGTCGCTCACAGAAAAAATTACGCCCACGCCCAACAAGACTGCGAAGGAGGCTAGTGTGAACCAGTCTTTCCACACCACTAATCACTATATGTAACTGGATGACCATGTAAAGATGATGCAATGGACAGCCTTGTACATGTACGGACTTGTCAGCTTGGTACACAAGTTGGACTGGGATATTTATATGGTCCACCATAATAATATTTTACTGGCATCTGGCTAGCCTGATTAAATTAGGTTCCTAGCAACTCTTCCAATTGGTCAGGCCCCTGGGGTTTGGGTTCTATAATTTATAAAGTACTGGACATTAGACTTTGTGTTACATGGACTAGAACCTGGACACTGCACCAGCTTAGAATTAATGACTCCATTTAGAATTGAATGTCCATAATCACACACCCCACTGTGTGGGATGACCCTGTGTACAATCAAATCAATGAATCATAAGCCCATGAAAACACCACATGTCTTGCACAACATGGCTCACCATATATGGAAAGCCAAGTGTAGCTCTTATAGTCTTACTCAACTTGTTGGCAATGCTGGTGAAAAACAAAGAACATTTGTTGTACTTGTCTGTACTATGTATAGGTACTACCAAGAAGAGCTGGTCTATTGGGAGCATGTCATGTTTTTGTTTTTCTTCCTACGCATGTAGTGTCTTTTACAATTCCTGTAGAAATGTGTGAATTTTTGTTAGGCCATAGCTGTTTCTTTACTGGATTCTCTAAATTGTAAACTAAAAATTTAACAGTGTTTACATCTGACTACAATCTGTCCTTGACACTGTGTGTACCAAGGTACAGACTTTGACTGAGTCTTATGTTGATATTTCTATTCAACATTATTTTGTTCAATATGAAAAATATGCTGGTGCGCCATAAACGCATTACTGGAGTAATCTTGGATCTGCTACATATAGCTTTTGGGTGGGGTCTAGGGATAAGCAATTGCATGAGTTATACAGTATATATCACACAAATTATAATAATATGCAGTCAAATCTTTTGACATAGTAATACTAGTAATAGTATAGTACAAAGAAATATTATCATCAACACCATCAACAAACTAAACAGGAATGTTATAAAATTTTATATAATCAAGTAGGAAATGTTACATAATCTAAAAATGTATTATTATACATGTGTATGAGATACATAATCAACTAAGGAATGTTATGATTAAAATATTGTTGTACATAAATGCTATGATTCAATTTCTTGTTTTAGATATTTTGATTATTGAGACCTAAATAAATTATGGCTAGATATGACTCTGGCTCAAGTAAATTGAGAGAACATTTGCATAACAAATGTGGAAATGTTGTAATTCTTTTGTTGTAAATGCTAAGCATTCATGATTGATGTGATCTTGACATGATCAAGTGTTATTTGGAATGGATGATGAGAAATACTGTGTAGCACACATCTGTTCCATACTGTTGTTGGTATTACTTGTAGCTATTTTACCACTACTTTTCAGTTAGTGGTGTAAGAAAAGTCCAAAGCTTTTCTTTTTCTGTTATACTATGCAAACTCTTCTTACCTGCCGGTAGGGCAAAGGTCACCATCTCAGTCAAGAAGTAGCAGGGGAAGTCTCCTTTCCTCTGACGCAGACTGCCGGTGACTTCTCGCCGAATGTCCGCAGCACAGTCCGGGCTCACGTGGGACGGAACCCTCTTCACCGCGTGTGAGGCAACTTCCGTGGAAGTCAGTAACACTGCCAGTAGGTCCTCTCTCTGAAAGCGGATGGCAAGATGGACAAGAGTGTATCCCACGTCGAACGCGCTGGGACGATCCAGGAGTAAGCACTCGTCGTACGTCAGCTGGCGAGCAGGGTCGCCACCGGACGACAGAAACACCTGAACGGGCTGCGGGTCGCCTTCCACCACGCCGACGCACGCGTTCAGCCACAGCCAGTCCTGCTGCCGCATCCTGTTCCGTATCAGGCGCAGGCGCCGTTCCTCTTGCTGGTTGTTGCCGGCCGACGCAGACGCTGATGCCAGCTCGATTTCGACGTTTGCTTCTGTGGGTGACCGTGCGGACGACGGTGGGGAGCGACGGCGGTAATTTGACCCCCGCCGGTTATTTGCATCGTGGTCGTGTATGTTTGACGTGTTCCCGGGACTCTGTTCCGGACTTCTGTGGCGTGGAGTGTGACAGAGCACACATTTTGAAGACTTGGGCCAGTTCTCGTATGTACAGGCACTACAAGACCATTTCACAACTGTCCTAGATGAGTTATATACAGCTTTGTTTTTGTCATTGTTTGCTGCTTTGGTAGCCTCTGGCGACCCCGGTATAAGAGGAGTACTTGTTCGAGATTGCGCTTTTGCTGCTAAGAGGTCGTTGTTGGGCTCGGAACCCTGAGTCACTGGTGGAAGGGCCAACTTCTTGCGTGGCGCCAGACATGCCGTGCACTTGACTGCTTTAGGCTGGTTGAGGTAGGTGCATGCCTTGCACGTCCTTTTTTCTTGTCTAAAAGGTTCTTGTCCTCTTGATTCGTCACCGTCGTAGTACTGCCTATACTGCTCGTGGGACAGATCAACATGGCAGGCGAGCTCGCTGCGGCGTATATGTCCAGGTCCCTCTCCTTTTCCCGTGTAGCTTCTCGTTCTTGTCGTACTTCACGTTTCGCCGCCTCCGCGATGAGTTGCGGAGGTTTCGTCCCGTGGCACATAGTGCACTTCTGCGCCGATGGCCAGTTTTCGTATGTACAGTAATCGCAGCTCCATTTTGCATCGACAGGGTCAGGTTGAGACATAATCGTTGAGAATGGGAAGCCTTTTTTTTATACACAACCAAAACGTCCCTAAAAACAAAGACCACCAGACTGTCCCACTCTCACAAAGGGGATCCTGTCTGCACAATCAGCAACTCAAAGCGGTCAAAGCAACATCTAGAACCAAAAATATGACGCTCTCTGGAAAACCTTGTCATGCAAACTCGTCACACAACGACCTATTCCGGATGGATGATGTGCGGAGTTCTATTCTGGATCTATTTTGGAGGACTGACCTTGCCGATCGTCAACTGGCAACACCTCATCAAAACATACCACAGCAAATACGGAAAATTCCACTTTCTTCAATGGACGAACCAAACACGGCACCTATCTTTCCCTCTCGACCTCGGGCTCGATCGGCAACACTTTCTGCAGGGAAAAACATGAGTGTTAACGGTCGTGTCAGAACTCATTTCTGCAGTTGAGTCCTGGAAAATCAGGAGCCAAACAAAACAGATTTGGGAACTATTTTGGTAGTGGAAAAATTACACCTAGGAATGTGGCCCGTTTGCCCCTTTTAAACCGAAGAGCACTCACCAATGCATGGCAGACAGCTGTCATAGACACCCCTCTTCTGTACTGTGGAGACTTCGTACCGTCTCTGTCCACCTCATCCGCGGTTTTGGACAGTGCTTTCTCCGCTTTTTAAATCCCCAAAGGTCAGTTCACAACACCTCCGCCATTTTGAAAACCCCCAGTATCACAAGGAAGTGACGTCATATGATTGACGAGCGCCCAGCTCGCGCATGCGCACGGCGCTCGGGATGGTTTCGGTGCTGCTCGGCATTTCTCGGCTCTTCCGACTTTTCACGAGGACTCCTCGGCATTTCTTCCGAGATCAGCACCAGGAAGAGGACGAAGATCTCAGGAGGAGGACCAGACAGTTTGGAGGAGGGAGGGTCGATCATTTGGAAGGTGAGGTTTTGTAGTGTGGCTGACTTGTCGTGATGGAATCTAGAGCAGATGCGTTGTTCCAAGTGTAACGTATCTTTCTGCAAAGCCGTGGGGAGGGCGTTACCTTGCAACATGCTTGCAACAACAAATTTTGAAGGGGGAGGGAGGGGTTTGAGATCATCATACTGCACTGTAGTAGGGTAGGTGCCTCATCCCGCATCCTCCATCTACTGGTATATAGATTTTGTCATTATAGACCCCTCCTCCATAATAAGATCGTTTTTCAACTTCTTTTATATTCGAACAACAGACTGACACCAAGTTGTCACTGGACTAAAATATGTTCCCTTGATGGAATTTGCTGAAAATGTTATGACAAAAAGGGCTAAACGTTTTATGTTCTGCTTATGTGATAAATCGTTATGTTATAGCCTAAGTGGTTACATGGTTTGAGACCTCATGCCTTTTTCTGTAGAGTATAATCAACCTTTTTAATCTTATGCACTTGACAGCCAGACCCGCCATAACATTTCTGAAAAAAGGGTATCCAGTGCATTTTGCACAAAATTAGCGCCTGAAATTAGCATAACTCTAAGGCATAGCCAGCCTGCCCAAATCGTTCATACCGGGGGTAATAGGTAGCTTCATCATAAAAGAATTTACTATTTCGATTCTTTCTCACTCTTGTTGTTGATTTGCATTTACTTTGTATTGTGATTCCTCCTATACTATTTTTCTTTGCATCCTTTATTCCCTGTTGGACTTGCGTTTGTGGAGAGTTATGTGCTGCTCCTCTTTTTTCAGGGAGCCAGGGCAGTGTGCAAAGGTTGATGGGAAAGTCTGGCTCAAAGGGGCCTGGGGCCAGGTGAGAGGACAAAGCACCCCCTGGTGGTTCTGATTAGTATTGCAATCAAATCATCATCATCAACCGCATTTCTCTTCATCAGCCTAGAGTAGAGCTTCAGAGAATAACTGCACTTTGTATTGATTTTCGACATGGTTTGGTGGCAGAGTGCTGAAGTGACCTGTTTTCGATGACCCAAATGTTCAATACTAATGTCATTAACCTTTGGCTTTCTAGGGGTGCCAATCTGCAATGGGGTGGTTTTTAGTGCACTGCTAGGTTTGCGAGCTTAAGGTCAACTTGTGATTGCTCAAGGTCAAGATACTACTGTTATATGCAAGCTAAGAAGTATGCACCAGGCGCTTGCATGTCGATACTGTATTACATGTATAAAGATGGTCATATTACAGAAACTGCCAAGAATATTGCCAACTGCATGTATATATATTGTATCTAGTCTTGTTCTGTCACCCAAGCTTGTGTTTATTTTTTCACTTGAGTTTCTTGCTAAAAATCTTTTAGAATTCACCAGCTCCTCTCTTTAGTAGGCTCCAAATTTCCCATAACGAATAACTCTTCACCCAGTAGTTATATACATGACAGCATGATTTTGACTTGAGTCAAACAGCAGTTGTCAAGTCTGAGCATAAAAGTTACCCTGGTAGCCCTTTCCAAAGCACATTACACTAGAAAAACTATCATTCAAAAGACAAAAGCGGGATTGTTGTTATGTGTTCAGTACTGGTAGTCTGTGCTCAGCTGTTTTAACATGTACTACTTACACAGTCATAGAGTAAGGGTAGATGTGGCCGTTTGAAACATTTCAAGTTTGCTACAGGATGTACTGCTTGACTGTAAACAAGTGCAGTAGGACATAGAACAGAACAATATATTTCATTTTAAACGCAAGACACATTTTATTGGTAGAGGTACATGTATGTCATCTTAATACTCTATTTAACCATTTTTAGCCATATTTTAAGCTACCTATGTGCAATGAAATGCAGCAAACACTTACTTCTCAACTGACTGTATTTCCCTGTACTTCTATTGTTCCTTATTTCTAGTGGCCCAGCAGGTCCAGAGCTGACTGGAAACATGGCTGCCGATGCCTTTATAAAGAACGGGATAGTTCCTGACATAGTGGACACTGCCCCAACAGAGACAGCAGCAGTAAGGAATTATAATCTTCTCTTGTACCAAATTTATTGTTTTGTATTAATGTCGTTTTTTTTTACCTTTTTTTTGCTAACATTAACATTGCTAGTATTAAGAGTGTGTTACAACCATCTTATGTTATTCAGGTTATTCTATGACATGGTTCCATTGTTAATGTTTCAGGTTACCTATGAGAGCAACACCACCATTGTCGACTTTGGAAATGAGCTCACCCCAACACAGGTAATTAAAGTTAAGGTTTATAAGGTATTGATCTAAATGTGATTGACGTAATCTGTAGTAAAGTTAGCCCCAAACATTCCAAGTGAGTGAACTAGCTTAATGACGGATTTAGATGCCTGCCATTTACCATGAGGGAACTGTAAGCCTGTTATATCCATGTGCCCCAAAACCTGACTTAATATGATCTAGCTGTTCATCTTGACCAGGCATTTTCCATTGAAATAAATTCTGTTACAGTACTAGTTTGGCAATGATTCAAAGGTGGAGCCACTTACAATGTACAATTGTTTTACGTTATTAATTATTTGTGTCTCTGAACTGCACCAGGTGAAGAGCCCTCCCCAGGTGATCTGGGCAGCAGAAGAAGGCTATCTCTACACTCTCATCATGACAGGTCAGACAATTACATTTTATTGCATGTGCAGACAATGATTGCTGACAAAGGCCATATGGCCTGCAAGATTCTATGTGCACTTGTGCATCATGATTCCCACCCACCTATTATTGAAGAAAACTTTGAGAATTTCACAGAATTTATATTGGGTCATTAAGAAACATCCCAGTAAGTAGTCATCACATATTGCAATGTTTCTCAGAGGTTTGAAATTACATGTTTTTTGTTAGTCATTGTGCCCAAGATCCACAGGACGGGGAAAATCAATCAAGCCCCAGCATCAGAGTGCAAGCACGTCTAACACTCGGTTACGGGGAACAACAGACGATAAACCAGATAGAGAGTGAGAGGCCTACCTGTCCAGATTTTGCTGACTGTGTTGTTGTTGTGCCCACAGACCCAGATGCCCCCAGCCGTTCCAACCCCAAGTTTCGTGAGTGGCATCACTGGCTGATAGTCAACATCCCGGGACACGACATCGGGCGGGGAGAGGTTCTCACCGACTACATCGGCGCTGCTCCTCCCAAAGACTCGGGACTCCATCGCTATGTCTTCCTGGTGTACAGGCAGCAGGGGAAACTGACGTGTAACGAGGAGAGACTGCCCAACAACTCAACAGCTAACAGGTCAGCAGTTCCTTCATGTTGTACAGTAGGTTGCTTGTATCACTTTCTGTTGTTTCTCAAGTCACAAAAGTGTCTACTTTTCATCATCATCATCATGAGGTGCAAGTAGCAAACTTGAGCTTCTAGAAGTGTTTGTTCTTCTAAATTAGTTTCTGTTTCTTCGAGTTTTGATACTTTTTCTACTTTTAAGTCGAAAAAAAGTCTGCAGCTAATTGCAGAAACTTATCTGAAACTTATTTTTGATGTCACTGTCAGTAAATATGCCTTTAGCAGCTGCAGATCATAACATATCACTCATGTACTGTTGTTTTAAAGCCCCTATGTAACAAGGGATGTGCATTTTGGGGAATAAACAGCTTTCCACACATGTAATTGTAGAAATTGCCTCATTTTTATCCAAGCGCCCATGAATTTGCGAAAACTAAGTGTTAAATCCACCAGCTCTACTCTAGTGCAAACTCGGCAGTGAGACCGGAAGTGACGTCACAGTAGGAACGCGAGCGTCATAGTTTAGCAGACGACAGGAACTGTCATGTAGTTTTTTGTCAGCCCAAGTTTTTTCGTCAGTATCTTTGTTTATCTTTGTTATTATAGAAATATGGTGCGTAGATGTGTAGCTTATGGTTGTTCTGGGACTACTAAATTAGGACTTAGTTTGCATAGTTTTCCAAGCAGCCCGCGGAGAAGGCGATTGTGGACCCAGTACGTACAGCGCCGTAGAAACAACTGGACGGGAGGGGCGAAAGCCGAACTGTGCAGTCGTCATTTTTCCAGCGACCAGTTTGTCGGCGGACTCGAGCGGGAATTCGGAATACGTAAACGCGTTCAGTTGAAGCCCACAGCCGTGCCGGATGTACATGCGTTTTGACGAAAGACCGGCTGAGAGTGGGGCGTCGTCTGCTGTAAGCGGCTCACGTACGGCGTTCGAAAAACGCAGACGACAACAGGTAACGTTCTGTGAATACTCTTGTGACACAACATAAACTCTTGGCAGATCAGGAGTGACGATATAGATGTAGATATCTTCAGAATTAGGAGCCGCCTCGTTTACTTTCCGCTTTAGCTAACGTATTATTATGGGCGTGGGGTGGGAGGGGGGCGCCGGCGAAAATACGTAAACATACATAGCTTGTACGCGGCTCTTCCACAAGTCACGCAGGCCCCTTTTGCAGTGAGTTTTTAAAATATATAGTGCTGGACTTCGATATTTATGTACCGTACATATCTGTAGCGTCAGTCTTTATATCTCTTGCTTGACTCTTACTAGTAAATTGTTTGACATGTATCATATAAATTGCCGTACAATGCAAATACATGTAGTACATTTACTTTTCACACAGATCATTGCAGACCTGTTGGAACAAAGTGTACAGGTATGTTGTATTGGTTTTGTTTAGATATTTTAAATTGAATTTTTAATTGTTACAAAGTGAAAGAAAAACTGTCAGGAACAATGGACAAGTAAGCAAGAAATAATTTTATTTATTTTTGTAACAATATAAGCTTATATACAATATAAGCTTATACATTGAAACATTAGTCACAATGTGCTGTGTGGTAACTATTGACCAATTTTTTTAAAAACACTGTTTCTGTTTCATTTAGGATCAGAATCTCTCAGAAGACAAGGTTGATATTGAGGTATGTACTTGAAATGATAATACTTTGTGATGAAAACTCTCTCCTATACTAAATGTCAGATATAATTGAACTTCTTCTAAGAGTTACAAGATTTTTGAATCTGAGGGGTGCACTGTTTTGTTTGACTCTTTTGACACAATCTATTCTTTCATCTTATCACATCAGATTATGTGGTAAACCTAATGTAAATTAAACAATCCTCAGGTTGTAGCTGAGCTGAAAAACAGTGTGGGCACACAGACAAAGTCCTCAGGCAGACACAGAGGTAAAGATGGTGTGATGCTCAAGTGTTTTGTAACACAGTTACTGTAAAATGTTTCATGCATTACAGCTGTATCAAGAGTTTTGCAACATTCCTTTCCATTGTACATCTTTTTCAAAAGTTTATCTGTATACAATCAGCATTAAGGCACATATTATTTCCACTTATGACAATGATGGTTTTGTTTTGAAATAGACATTTTATACAATTATGTATGTAATTTTGAAATACTATGAAGAATTGACAGTGCTAATATTTCAAAGTCATTTTGCTTGTTATTCTTCAGCAACACAGGTCACTCCTGCTCGCGCTGACGCAGGGGTCCAGTGCACACTCCTCGCCCCACCCCCGGACGAAATGAGGACACCGATTCGGAGCCGGAGTCTGAGGAAGAGGAGGATGACGATGATGATGAGGACTACTTCCCTCAGAGGAGGAGCTGTCAGACACTGATAGGTCAGAAGCAATTGCAACATATTCCTTCATTTGTTCAAATAGCCTCTTTTATCACAGTATCATAACAGTAAAACACATTTGTTGAAATCCCTAATGTGGCATCACAGCTTTATGTGCAAACCAATTTTTTTTCAATCTTTACCTAGTGATGACTTGGAGACAGAGGAGATTCATCTGCCAGATGAGTCAGTACCACCCCAGGAAGAGAGAAAGTACCTTGTCTTCCATTCAGCTCTTCTGCAGCTTTTCTCTCTCTGCCTACTCTGTGGTAGTGGAAAGCAGAAGCTTCGCCTCGAGACCATTGGGTCCTTCCTGTCCATCACACAGATTTGTACCTTGTGCGAACATGTGAGGACATGGAGCAGCCAGCCATTCATACGCAACACACCAGCTGGGAACTTGCTGATCTCTGCAGCAGTTCTTTTTGCAGGTATTGAATTACTTCCTGTCAATCATGTCTAAAGTCATATAAACTGAACCTTTAAAGCCACATTGCAAGGAGGTTTACAGATGAGTTAATGTTAATTTGTGTATAAGTACATACTGTCCCATTATTATTATTATTATTATACTATATACACAGATTGATGTAGGTAACCAATAAAATTGTCAAATAGACAAATCACAATGAATTTGTATGCTTTCAAACAGGGGCAATACCACAACAGGCGTTGAACGTCTTTGCCTGCCTTCGCCTACACTGTATCTCAGCTAGAACTTTCTTCCGGCACCAACGTATGACCCTCCACTTGGCAATCAAGAACGTCTGGAGTAGGAAACAGGAAGGCATGTTTGCAGCCCTGCATGAAGGAGGACAGGCACTGATACTGGGAGGTGATGGCAGGGCTGACAGCCCTGGACATTCAGCCAAATATGGGTCTTACACCCTTATGGATTTGAGGACTAAAAAGATTCTTACCCTACAGTTGGTTCAGGTAAGTAGCTTCTCCTGTTTTTAGAATTTTTTCTCTTATCTATTAGTATTACAACTACAGGTAATTTTTAAGCAAGCAGCAATGCCTTAATAACATTAAATGCAAAGCACTTAAATGTAATGATGAAATGATTTGATGTTACTCTGGTCTAAAAGTTTTCCTACCTGTATTATTTCACAAAAACAGAGCAATGAAGTCGGATCAAGCAATGCTATGGAGAAGGAGGGTCTGGCTAGGGCGATTGACTTCATAAGGAGGAACTGCACATTGCAGATCGGCAAGATCGTCACTGATCGCCACCTACAGATCGCCAAATGGATAAGGGAAAACCTGCCAGAAACATGTCATCTGTATGACATCTGGCACATTGCTAAAGGTAAGCATTCCTAGTTCACACAGACGAAGCAAGAGGGCTGACTGTCCCTAGTTAGTGCTGATTTATAATTTTACACAAACTGCAATTATTGTGGACCTTACAAAGAGCAAGTTGTTAGTGTTTTGTTAGCTTCTCTGGAGTGTTTGAGTGGTTGCTATACTGGTTACATTAAAATTTAAGGACAAAGAAGACCAATTCAATAAGCCCCACTGAACAAATTCAGACTACTAGTAAATAAACACTTTTTGGTAGGTGTAGTAGTGTTCTCATGCAGTAATTGGTTTGTTATTAGGTCTCAGGAAGAAGCTTTCTGCCTTGGCAAAGCAGAAGGAGTGTGAGGTAGTAGGTGATTGGACAAACTCCATTGTCAATCACCTATACTGGTGTTCCACAACAACTAGGGAAGGTGCTGGTGACTTGGTGGAGGGCAAGTGGTTGTCTCTTGACAACCACTTGCACAATGTTCACAGTGGCCACAGTGAAGCCTTCCCACAGTGTGCCCATGGGCCCTTGCGCAGACAGTGGCTTAAACCGAGTAAGACAGTTATTAGTAGGTTCTGTCTGTCAAAACCAAGCATTGGGTGGCCAAACTAAATAAAGTTTATCCTAGATAAACTTTAATATAAGGTCTAGTCTACAAATAAAACAAAAAATTGGTAAGCAGAATTACATTTCACAAATGGTTGTTTCAGTGGCAACAGTTTGCTTGGTTTCTACAGTCTTAAGTTGTTCAGTCTTGATAAAGTAATCCAATACTGATTTTCAAACATTTAAATTGTAAGGTGGCTTACATGTACATGAAGCTGCATAATTACATCAACTATTATAACAGCAACAATAACAAAGTCTTATTGTTTCTTCAGATGTGCATACTGTAATACAGCCAGTTCATTTACAAGTTACACTGCAAACATGTTAGTGTGGCATCTCCAAAAACTTGTTACATTTTTACTTATTGTGGTATTTGTGTTTCAGACACAAAGGCCAGTGTTAAGCTTTCTGCTATCATTACAAAGAAAAGCCTTCTGAAGGACATCCGAAAGCTGTCACCCAAATACCAGACCGCACACTTGGAGGCATTCCATAGTACAATCAACCACTTTGCTCCAAAATGGGCAGCATTCTTTTACATGGGGATGTTGTCAAGGTATGTTCAACTTTTTAAAACAGCAAGTGTTAAATTTTGTAGAAATTTAAATAGGTATGTATGACAGTAGCCATAAAGTTGACCTGAACAGGGGAGGAAAATGGTCTATGACTGTTTCTGTTACTAGTATTCATATATGCAAATTTGAAAAAGAATAAAACGTATTTACACAAAAAAATACAATTTTACATATATATTGTTTTTTGCTACCTCTTATACCATGTACCTGTACTGTATTACCCTTCAGGCTCCATCTGGCTGCTCTGCACCACAACGAAAACTGTGGGCGGGGACAGGCCAGAAACAAGGATGGGGAGAGAATCTATAAGATCAGGTATAAAAAGTTCAAGAAGTCATGCACAGTGCAGGCAGTGCAAGGGAGCTGCACGTTTGGTAAGGACTATCTACTGTACTCCTGGGTTAAATTATCTTGATATAAACTAGGTTAGCTCAGACATAGTTTTTTAGGGCCATTCTATATATTGTTATAAGGTCACACCGGGTTAATTTTATAAAAATGCATATGCTACTGTTTACCATCCAATACAACTAACAATTCTCTCCCTGTAAAATGCAGACTATGTGACTGAACTCACAGAAGAAGCAGTGAGGCTCTGCGAAGAAGCTATCGTGGATGATGATCTGATGGAAATACCACCAACCCTTACAAGTACTAGTGGTGCTGACAGGCTGAACAAAGAAGCTGCCATCCAGGCCCACAGAACAAGATTCAGCATTGATGAATAGTAGTAAAAGTACAGTTCTTCTTCTGCAGTACAGTAGTGTAGTAATAAAGCACACATGTAGTAGTAGTACAAGTTAGCATCCTTCCATATCAAGAGAGGATGGTTTCACTGTGCTGTCATGGCTGTAAATTTCTTGTATACATGTATATATTGAGACACCCTTAACTTTGAACCCTGATCAACATTTGAACCAACTTAGGTAAACTTATACTTCTAACAAGTTCTATTCTGTGGCTGACAACATTAGCCTTCCATTACTACTAATTCAGTGGAGGGTACTGGAATCCTGTGTATTGTGCTGACGGAAAGGTGTCCCTGATCTTTGTCACTGCACATGCAGGGAGGACCACTCTCACTTCTCTTCCCAGCCACCCCCAGCACCAACGCACCAACTGGCGGTAGGCAATGTACCGGTACCTCCTAAATTGGACGGCTTGGTTAATTTTTTTTACATTATCCATTGTAGCAACTAAACTGTGAACTTGTATAAGTCTGTATCAAATTTATAAGGACTACAGATTACTAGTAGATAACGAACTTCACTGGTTAACTGAAACTGTGCACATCAGTTCTATAGGAAACAGGAAAATATTTCCACCGTGATTGAACAGTGACTGCTGGTACTAAATTTAAATTGAGTGGTCATAAGATACATACCCTCAGTAAACTTGTACTGCTGAAGTAATGCACATACAGATACTAGTAGTATGTCTCCAATCAACATTTAATGTTAATTTATTAGTTGGAAACAGAGAACGTGCATATCGCTAGGTAGCTTACTCATGGGTTGGATCTTGACTGGGCCCATACTCTTGCCTGTACTGGTAGTAAGCACACTGTAGTGCCCAGATGTCTACTAGTAGACAGACTGATGAGAAGCCAGGGTGCATGGTTATGCACTTGGGGGCCGGAGACACCCCCTCCATAGTGTTCCTAATTTGTTCGTGTTCTTGACAACAGACACATTCTGTTGTGGTTGCCATTATACGGCAATTATCACATCTGCACCTGAAATGTTATATAGAATTATGTGATACATATACCATATAGGTAATAGTTGTATCACTCTCAACTTTCCAATGTTATTAAATAAATTTTTAGGCAGGTAGGTATGATGATGACTTATTCAAAATGTCCATCCTACTAGTAATAAGTAATTTAGCGTGTTTAAAAAAAAGACATGTCTTCAACCACACATACTGGTAAACACACACACACTTCTGTGGATATATTTATCACAAACAGCACAAAATTAAAGACAACAAAATTCTGGCAAATAGAGTTTATTTAACAACTATTCAAAATATGATACACATAAGAAAACTGGTTTAGGATACATGTATTTACGTGCTGTCGAAAAGTTTATCGCAAAAGAATCTGTTCTAAATCTAATGTTTACAACGTGCTGTTGGATGATGAGAAGAAAATGTATGCAACTTGACTTTTTCTGCACAATTTGTGCCAAATAAACTACTTGAACAATAAAGATTTATAGTTCATTCATGAACATTCATGAATAAAGTTTCTAGTGCGTAGCTGACGAATAGCCTGTTTTTCTTTCGTAGCGTTTACTTCTGCGTCGACGCGACAAAAAAATTTATGGTCTCATACCGGAATTACTCCGCACGTGTAGGGTCTAAAAGAGTCCCGACAAAAAAATGATTGTGCCTGAACAGCGTGAGTTTAGGTCCACCATAAAATCCCTTTCATCACTCAGACCTGATCTAAAAAGGATTTGAGGTGAAAGCCTGTTTATTACTGACAGGATCAGGCAGGGAAGTTTCGGCGTCCGAGCGATTGTCGGACGTATACGCTTATTTTGACCTGAGTACTGCGGTCGGGCACAGTGAGCCAAAAGAGGGCCTCTTCCGGGTCATGGGTAATTGCAGTTATACATGACGTAAATATCGAACTAGCGGTTAGAATTGGGGAAAAAAATTTTGATCGGTTACATGATACGTGTGCTTGGTATAGACAGCAAAAAATCTGTTGATATACGATTTTTTGATTGGATTGACAGCCAAAATAGTGGCCTATTTTAACGTGTAAGTCTACGGGACGGCGAAATTGGCGTATGAGACCTTAATAGAAATTAAAAATATTCACCAAAAATCAACGATTAGTG